AGATTCGAGGGACAAATGAGGCAGTGTGGCACCGTTACCTTTAGTGCCAGGTTGTTTAAGGCACTCAGCCCATTACAGTAAAGTGAATTGGCACACCTGATTTTTTTTTGCGGGGTTATTGGATGGGCAGCGCTTTGTTAGGCTGGAATGGCAGTGCTTTGTTAGGAGGGAAGAACTGTGCTTTGTTAGGTGATAGGGGCACTGCTTTGTTAGGTGATAGGGGCACTGCTTTGTTTGGTGATAGGGGCACTGCTTTGTTAGGTGATAGGGGCACTGCTTTGTTAGGTGATAGGGGCACTGCTTTGTTAGGTGTCAGGGGCACTGCTTTGTTAGGTGATATGGGCACTGCTTTGTTTGGTGATAGGGGCACTGCTTTGTTAGGTGATAGGGGCACTGCTTTGTTAGGTGAAAGGGGCACTGCTTTGTTTGGTGATAGGGGCACTGCTTTGTTAGGTGATAGGGGCACTGCTTTGTTTGGTGATAGGGGCACTGCTTTGTTAGGTGATAGGGGCACTGCTTTATTAGGTGAAAGGGGCACTGCTTTGTTTGGTGATAGGGGCACTGCTTTGTTAGGTGACAGGGGCACTGCTTTGTTAGGTGATAGGGGCACTGCTTTGTTTGGTGATAGGGGCACTGCTTTGTTAGGTGACAGGGACACTGCTTTGTTTGGTGATAAGGGCACTGCTTTGTTTGGTGATAGCGGCACTGCTTTGTTTGGTGATAGGGGCACTGCTTTGTTGAATACGTTGATCGTTTCTGGTATTTTGTTTCTCGCATTCAAATGTATAGTTTATTATTTATCTCTTGTCTCATCTGTTGGTGATACCTGTTGCTGGGTGTGTGTGTGTGTACTGGTGTTGCTGGGTGTGTGTGTGTGTACTGGTGTTGCTGGGTGTGTGTGTCTGTGTACTGGTGTTGCTGGGTGTGTGTCTGTGTGTACTGGTGTTGCTGGGTGTGTGTGTGTACTGGTGTTGCTGGGTGTGTGTCTGTGTACTGGTGTTGCTGGGTGTGTGTGTGTGTACTGGTGTTGCTGGGTGTGTGTGTGTGTACTGGTGTTGCTGGGTGTGTGTGTGTGTACTGGTGTTGCTGGGTGTGTGTCTGTGTACTGGTGTTGCTGGGTGTGTGTGTGTGTACTGGTGTTGCTGGGTGTGTGTGTGTGTACTGGTGTTGCTGGGTGTGTGTGTGTGTACTGGTGTTGCTGGGTGTGTGTCTGTGTACTGGTGTTGCTGGGTGTGTGTGTGTGTACTGGTGTTGCTGGGTGTGTGTCTGTGTACTGGTGTTGCTGGGTGTGTGTGTCTGTGTGTACTGGTGTTGCTGGGTGTGTGTGTCTGTGTACTGGTGTTGCTGGGTGTGTGTGTCTGTGTGTACTGGTGTTGCTGGGTGTGTGTGTCTGTGTACTGGTGTTGCTGGGTGTGTGTCTGTGTGTACTGGTGTTGCTGGGTGTGTGTCTGTGTGTACTGGTGTTGCTGGGTGTGTGTCTGTGTGTACTGGTGTTGCTGGGTGTCTGTGTGTACTGGTGTTGCTGGGTGTGTGTGTCTGTGTACTGGTGTTGATGGGTGTGTGTGTCTGTGTACTGGTGTTGCTGGGTGTGTGTGTCTGTGTACTGGTGTTGCTGGGTGTGTGTGTCTGTGTACTGGTGTTGCTGGGTGTGTGTGTCTGTGTACTGGTGTTGCTGGGTGTGTGTCTGTGTGTACTGGTGTTGCTGGGTGTGTGTCTGTGTGTACTGGTGTTGCTGGGTGTGTGTCTGTGTGTACTGGTGTTGCTGGGTGTGTGTGTCTGTGTACTGGTGTTGCTGGGTGTGTGTCTGTGTGTACTGGTGTTGCTGGGTGTGTGTCTGTGTGTACTGGTGTTGCTGGGTGTGTGTGTCTGTGTACTGGTGTTGCTGGGTGTGTGTCTGTGTGTACTGGTGTTGCTGGGTGTGTGTGTCTGTGTACTGGTGTTGCTGGGTGTGTGTCTGTGTGTACTGGTGTTGCTGGGTGTGTGTGTCTGTGTACTGGTGTTGCTGGGTGTGTGTCTGTGTGTACTGGTGTTGCTGGGTGTGTGTGTCTGTGTACTGGTGTTGCTGGGTGTGTGTCTGTGTGTACTGGTGTTGCTGGGTGTGTGTGTCTGTGTACTGGTGTTGCTGGGTGTGTGTCTGTGTGTACTGGTGTTGCTGGGTGTGTGTGTCTGTGTACTGGTGTTGCTGTGAGTGCTGCTATGGTCATCTGATCCTGCTATTAACGTGCAGATCATGTTGGTGCAGAGCAAAACACCGTTCGACGCCTGCTAAAGGTGCCAACGGTGACCACCTCGTAGTCATAATGACCAATGTAGTTCAAAACTCTCAGTGGGTCTTGAAATCTTATTGACTGTCACCTTCCCGTAAGAGTTGGTCGGAAGAGTAAAGGAACTGGTCGGCCGAGCGGACAGCACACTGGACTTGTGATCCTGTGGTCCCGGGTTCGATCCCGGGCGCCAGCGAAAAACGATGGGCAGAGTTTCTTTCACCCTATGCCCCTGTTACCTAGCAGTAAATAGGTACCTGGGAGTTAGTCAGCTGTCACGGGCTGCTTCCTGGGGGTGGAGGCCTGGTCAAGGACCGGGCCGCGGGAACACTAAAAAAGCCCCGAATTCGACTCAAGATAACCTCAAGAAGCTATCCGAGAGGGTGTGATGATCTCCAAAATCGCCACACCAAGAAATATCAGATATTTCTGTATCTTCTACTATTTTGAAAAGCAAATAACACATAAATGCCTTAACCTTTTTAAGACTTCTAATCCGAGATAAAAAACCGGTTTACTAATTACATTATTAACGTGACACCTTTTTAAAAGGAGAACTTAACCTTGAAATATAACACTGGAACGACTGTAAACAAATAAAATACCCTTATGATAAATGACAAATTCCTCACTTTCGCTCCGACCCAATACCGTAAGACCCATAAACTGACCCCAATATTTTTCCTCCAGGTTTCTGCCATCTGCGTCGTCCCTTACGGTTCGCTGATGACACGAATGCCACTGGATTTCATATGAGCAATACCAGGCTTGGCGTTGTTATGTAAAATGCAGAGGTGGAATGCAACGGTCGTGGCACGGGCTGAAAGAACCAATGCATTCCCAACGAGGTTTGCAATATTCCCCCTTGCAACATGCATGGATGCTGTTGGATGCATTCAGTGACGGTGAATCAAGTGGATGACATGTAAACAATGTCTTTTTGTTTTGTTTTTTGCCCCGTATGAGATGTTGGTGGGATGGGGGGGGGGGTGGAAAAATAATCAGGGAGGGGAGATGTAATGAGTGAGATGGGTGGAAAGGGGATTTTAGGAATAATATGAGGGACAGAGATAAGGCAAGAAGCCTTCAGATGTTCAAGAGATTAATTAGTATCCTCGGAAGGAATTATAAAGCTCCGTTCCTGTGCCAGGGTAAGTCCACTACGGGCTCACCGGAGCCCGTGCTACTTGGAACTTTTTGTTCCGAGTAGCTGAATCTAGAACAACAACAACAATAACGGGAGGAACGAGTGAGAAAGAACAGAAGGGAGAACGGCATTGAAGGTGAGTAAAAGGTGAATGAACAAAGTGTTTGGAAAAAAGGCGATAAGGTTCATTAAGAAAATGAAAAGGGGCTTAGTGGTTTCTTTAATTCAGCGACTTCCTTTTTTTCATTAATTTACTCGCTCTCTTTCTACAGTAAATCAACCATCACTTTCTAATATATGCAAGACACATCTGTAATCAGTGAACATCAAATATGTGGATTGCTAATGTACAGTATAGCCTGATATTTGTATCAACAAGAGATGGTGTACTATATGCAAAAGTCATTTATGCAAATTATATATATATATATATATATATATATATATATATATTCCTCCATCTCTCTCTGAGCCGAAATCACCACCAATGTGTTCCTTGTCGTTTCCACTGCACGAGAAACAACAAGGGAACACAGCCTGCCGATATAAAAAAACATATACACCAATCTACTTAAACCCCATCCAACCCGTCCCCCTTCCCCCTCGCCCCATCCCCCCTTCCCCCATTCCCTCTTTCCCCTTCCCCCAGTAGCTACAAGTTAGTGTTTTCCATCCTCACGCGGCTCTCAAGTCGTGAGAACTTCCGGGGAAAATTCTTACCTCCCTAAAAAAAAATATAAAAAAAGCGAAGAAAAAGAGACGACCCAAGCTTCATATGCAAATGAGTTCCGGCGAGTAATTCAAGGACCAGCAGCCGAAATTCTTCCAGATAAAAAGATCATTAGGACACAGGATCCTTAAGCCAGGGACGTCACCGAGGATTTTTTGGCATTAGTGGCAAATTATAGCTTAGAGCTATGATTAAACTGGCGTAGCCATCACGGGGGGGCATGATAGAGCAATGCCATATATGGACGTAAGGTCGTAATTCGTGATCAAATACAACTGGTACTTCGTCAGCGATGTCTCAGTTTTTTGGGGTCCCTTTACACCTCTCTCTCGGGGTCCGGATATTCGATGGGTCGCCAACGACCTTTCAGAAAATGTTAACGATGCACGATTTTCTTTTTATATAAAGTGCGAAGATGTACTGGTTCCAATTCTGTGCTCTTGGTACAGTTGGCGCTGTGGCTGTCTGGCGAGAAACCCAGCGCCGCGTCATAACAATCCCCGTGCCTACTAATTACAATCCCAACGAAACCCTCATTACAATCGCAAATCAAAACATCAACAAAGAAAATGGAGAACAAGGCCCGACTAAGAATCAAAGTTTAAAGTCAATATTTGTTAGTGGGCAACAGAAAAGTGGATTCTTGCCGCCACAAGCCTGAGACCTTGTGGTGCGTACAGCTGTGTGGCATGCAGCTGTACGATACGCATGTGTGAGCCATGCAGCTGTAGGATATGCAGCTGTGATGTGTGCAGCTGAGAGGGAGTGCTCACCGAGAAGGGACCACCGAACACACGCCTACATCAGAACCATATGATGTAAACAAAAGTTCAGAAGGAGCTCGCAATTCCATTACGACATGCAGAGCAGGTGTCAGCAGTGCTACAACATGCAGAGCAGGTGTCAGCAGTGCTACAACATGCAGAGCAGGTATCAGCAGTGCTACAACATGCAGAGCAGGTGTCAGCAGTGCTACAACATGCAGAGCAGGTGTCAGCAGTGCTACAACATGCAGAGCAGGTATCAGCAGTGCTACAACATGCAGAGCAGGTGTCAGCAGTGCTACAACATGCAGAGCAGGTATCAGCAGTGTTACAACATGCAGAGCAGGTATCAGCAGTGCTACAACATGCAGAGCAGGTGTCAGCAGTGCTACAACATGCAGAGCAGGTGTCAGCAGTGCTACAACATGCAGAGCAGGTATCAGCAGTGCTACAACATGCAGAGCAGGTGTCAGCAGTGCTACAACATGCATAGCAGGTATCAGCAGTGCTACAACATGCAGAGCAGGTATCAGCAGTGCTACAACATGCAGAGCAGGTATCAGCAGTGCTACAACATGCAGAGCAGGTATCAGCAGTGCTACAACATGCAGAGCAGGTATCAGCAGTGCTACAACATGCAGAGCAGGTGTCAGCAGTGCTACAACATGCATAGCAGGTATCAGCAGTGCTACAACATGCAGAGCAGGTATCAGCAGTGCTACAACATGCAGAGCAGGTGTCAGCAGTGCTACAACATGCATAGCAGGTATCAGCAGTGCTACAACATGCAGAGCAGGTATCAGCAGTGCTACAACATGCAGAGCAGGTGTCAGCAGTGCTACAACATGCATAGCAGGTATCAGCAGTGCTACAACATGCAGAGCAGGTATCAGCAGTGCTACAACATGCAGAGCAGGTATCAGCAGTGCTACAACATGCAGAGCAGGTATCAGCAGTGCTACAACATGCAGAGCAGGTATCAGCAGTGCTACAACATGCAGAGCAGGTGTCAGCAGTGCTACAACATGCATAGCAGGTATCAGCAGTGCTACAACATGCAGAGCAGGTATCAGCAGTGCTACAACATGCAGAGCAGGTATCAGCAGTGCTACAACATGCAGAGCAGATATTAG